GGTCCCGCGGTAAGGACTTAAGGAGCCCTCCCTGGGGACCTATTCCTATCGGTTGCCTCGCGCAATTCGTCTCCTTCCGATGTCTTATTTGACCGGCCTTTTCTGACCCCTTCGTGTGAGCGCATCAGCATTGTCAATTCCCGTAGAAAATTGAAAATCATTTTACACTATTTTTTTTAATAGTAGTATATTTTAAAAAAAGCCAATTCCTGGGAAAATTGGCAACTGTGCACGATTCCATCGGTAAACAATCGGAGGAGTCGGAGAATTTTCATTCAATTACGTCTGATGGACGACTTGTTTGGCGTCTTAGTTGACTTTGGTCTTAGGAAAGAAGGCTGTCAAAGGTCCCTGAGCTCAATAGGTGGCGAGAAAGTTTTGACAAATCGAAGAAATGGCGAGAACTAGAGAGCCCGAGAGGTTGAATTCTTGGTGCAATATCGAAAAAGACCAACCTATCCGTTCCATACCTTGCGAAATTTTCAGCACTCGTCGAAGAAGTTGTTTCAATCCGATCGTTTTTTCGTGTAAAAATTCTGACAGCTATTGCAGTCTTATCATCTAATGATTTGTTTAGCCCTTCAAAAAATGATTCTCCTTCATTTTGCCTGAGTTATTTTTACCCAAAAATTTTTCCGCATGATTCTTATTTCTTTTTATTTATTGTATTTATCCAATTTGTTTGTATCCCCCGAAATCAATAAAAACCCGCTTATACAAACCGATGAATTTAGCTAGCGCTCATTGATTCAAACCACTGAACGTTCGGTCGCAAAAATCGAGTTTTTGGTTGACAGAATCTAACTTAGGTTCATCGGTGTAGATGTTGCGTAAGAACGAAAGTTTCTCGGTAAATTGAAGTTGAACCCTCAGATTACCGAACTCATAACTTTGGCCAAGAGGTTTGTTTGTGCGACTGAGATTTCAGTTCTTTGAACTGTAAAGCGCTTACTGACTTTTTTGTTTTGTGAGTATAATCAAGTGTCTCTTCTTCAACTTTATGTTGCATGAAAATGTGTGCCTTGACGAAGTTCCTGCGTTAATTTCATCTCAATGCTAGATCAAGAAATGCTTTAATTTGGAAAAATATATGATGCGATGGCCTCGATTTGAACGAACTTCAAACTTTGCCCCAACTCAAAGTGTAAACATCTTGAAATGAGTTGACAGGAATTAAGTGCCAGTTTTTCGTCTCAAATCAGTTGACCTGTCGGAGCTAAAAGTTATCCGTGTGATCTTGAGATTGATAATTAACTTGGAGACAAAAGACTTTTGTCATTCATGATCATACTTGTTTCCTTTCTACTAATGCAAAATATAACTGCAGTAACATTCTCGGCTTGCAAAAAGAAACAACATATCTTAAGAACAGTTCAAGGATTTCAAACAGGCAAAAAAAAATATTTCTCTCCCGATTCTATTTAACAATATTCAGTTGTCCTTACTGCAAAATCATAAGACCAGAGACTACTGCAGACCTTCCGTTGGTTTTTTGGCGATAGATGGAAACTTTTACTTCCGGGATTCAAAACTTCTGCAAGGACAATTATAAGGCTTGCAACAGTCATATCTCTTTTATCGGCTCTTGACCTACCTACTAGGGAGATGATAAGCTTCGGAAGAAGTTACGAGCCAAGCAAGTTTACCAAACTTCGATTTGTTTGCAAAACGAAGTACTCAACTTGTTGTCAAACATTTATCTTATTAGATAGGCAGGTATCAACATTTGAATGTTGGAGACCCGAAAGTAAAAGCTTCCACCACCCACCATTGATACCAATCGGACGTATTTCTGCCAAACGGAACTATGTGCATTATGACATGAGCCCTGTAACCCATAAGAATATATGGATAACAAGGCTCACGTGACGATGCACATAGTTCCATTTGGCAGAAATACGTCCAATTGAGGGTCTCTCTTTCTCTCTGCATGAACCTCTTTTTTCTCGATTGGTGTATTTAGAGTCTTTCGTTGAATTTATTCTTCTTCTTCACCGTCCTTTTGTAATTTCATGTCTTCTCGAAGCATGCGCATGTGTGCTTGGTTATGTTTTGCCTGGTTTGTTTCCTCTACGGCGACTGAAAGCGAGCTATTCTAATTGGTGTCGTTTTGCCTGGTTTTAGGGTCAGGACATCCCGATCTACATCTGGTATGACAGCTATCCAACGCACAGCGGCGAGGGCTACGAGGGTCGGGTCAGCAGGGTCTCACCGGACTCACCGTACGGCCTGGCTAGCCTCAACCTGACCAACATCCGCGAGAGCGATCAGGGCTGGTACGAGTGCAAGGTCGTCTTCCTCAATCGCTCTCCCAACTCCCACAAGAACGGCACCTGGTTCCACCTCGATGTCCACGGTAAGCTCATCACCACTCGCTCATTCTCTCACTGGCTTCGCGCTCTCTAAAGCCCTGGATAGACGATCAAATTCCGAACCAATTCCGATCAAAGGAGACATGCTGATGACTGATGGTCACCATCTACCATCAAATTTTGACGGGCCGCACTCATTTGTTCAAAGTAAGATCAGAATGGAGTGCCACTATTCATCATTTCCTGCCACAGGAAACATTTCTGCCAAGTTTTCATTTTAAAATGAAGCAAATTAATGAGTTTAAGGCTGATGACTCCCGACACTTTGATGCTACTTAGATCGGAATTGGTTCGGGAATTTGATCGTCTGTCCAGGGCTTTAGGCCCGCTTCCTTGCGTTAATCCAAATAGAGCGGGCTCATCTAGGGGATATTTTCTATCGATAGCCGCAAAAGGGTCTCAGGGCATGTCGTCAACGATTTTTTGTCCGCACACCTGTTTTGTCCAGTAGTTTACGTCCACGCGTGAAATAAGCAGCAGTGACTTGGTCCAAGTGTCATATTTTAGTCCGTATGTAAAATTATATTGACAATAATGAAATGAGAAAATTGAAAGTGACGGATGAGTTGTTGTGGTAACTCATTTTTTAAATGAAATATTATTTCCCTCTTTTGATCAATATTTTTAAAGTGTCATGGGTGAATATTTGGTTTTATTTCCATCCTTAAAATTTTCGATGAAAAATAAACCTTATAAATACTTTTTTTTTTAATGAAAATATTACTTTATTTTAAAAACATTTACATTTTTAAAACGTGGCAAATATTTGTAAAACCTTTTCCAAGCGATGGCATCGATATTAAAGTCAATAAGAAGTAGTTGTGTCGAAAGAAACTATGCAAAAATGAAAAAAAGAGGGGAAAACCCGAGAAGCACGCAATCTTCGGTTTTAGCGCATTTGTACGTCGATCTTTCAGAGTCAATACGTCCTATTTTGAGCGTTTGGTTTCGCTCACACCACGCTGCAGCACAGTAAAAGCACAAAATAAGAAAGGAAAAATTAATGTGTTTTGAAAATCATTGAATACGATGAGGAAACACCTTAATATTTACAAAACACACATTAAATTTTCCTTTCATATACATATTTTTTTTTATCAATTTAAATTAAAGTAATCCATGCAGAGTGTACGCAAACATATAAAAATCATGAGTTAAAAAACGCTAACTCTGCGAGGCCCTAGCATAAAGCGGAGTGATGCGACGTGTTGCCAACACGAAACGCGCACTGGCGCCTACAAACCTAAGTAGATACTTCACGCATTGCGCAATGCTTGAGGTATCCGTTAGGTTTGTAGGCGCCAATGCGTGTTCCGTGCAGGCTGGCTGACAGGCCGCGCCGCAGCGTGCCACGTGCCACGGCGCTTCACTATTTCACAATAGAGATGTTGTACAGTATTTTACGAAATTAAAGGCACCTCAACACACGAACAATAAGAATGACAGGCATCATTTAAGAGCACGGAACTTTCCTTGCAAAATAAGTCGAGATAAGAGAGATAAAGGAACATTCTTGAGTATGCCGTCAAGAAGATTTTATTTTGAATCAAGAATAAAACAAGTTGGATTTTGCAATCGCTAGCGATGGCAATATTCGTCATGGGAACGTTAGCTTCTGGGATATGAAAATGTTAAGGTACAGTTCGTTTGTAGTATCTTCTGAATTGAAGGGGCTATGTAATTTTGTGTTGACATCTCTTTTTTAACATTTTTAATTATTTTCTTTGCATACAAGAAAGCTGTTATGTACCAATTATTTATTTTCGTTGGATTAT